CGGCCACGCGGGCGCGCTCCCGCGAGCCCCTCCCGCCCCGAAACTCACCTCTCGGGGCTCCCGGGAGTCCACGCGACCGTACCCGACACGTCAAACCCCCTCGCGCTAACCAGCAACGCAGCTTCCGTCTGCGGGAGGAAGTGACGTCATAAGAAAGCCCTGTCCTCCCGGGAGTGAAAGCCGCCGCTGCGGAGACAGGAAGTTGGAGAGGATGGGCGGCCGGAAACCCAGTGAACCGCGCATGCTCTGATAGAATTCGGGTCCCGGGCGAGCGCGTTTCCTCTCTACCACGAAGGGAGGTCGAGTCACGGAAGCGTCGGTGCCTCCGGAACGCGATGGGCTGAGATGTGAGGCAGGGTCCCCACGCTGCGGGCGCCGACCTTCGGCAATCTTCCCGTGAGTGCGCTCGCGGAAAGCGCCGGAGACGCGGCCTCCGCGCCTCGGCTCCGCCCGCGGGGACGCTCCGCGCGGGGGCGCGGGAGGAGTGCGGGCTGTGGCGGGGACGGCGCGGGCGAACCTCTCGAGGCGCGTGGATTCCCGCAGGTGGACAGACACCCAGCGTGAATCTGCTTTTGATCGCGGGAGGATGTAGGTGTGATCTGTTGGAAGCCGTCAGTGAGGACGGGATGTCCCCGCTGGCCTGTAGGACGCGCCAACACAGCTGCAGAGCTTCGATCCGAGCTTTCCACTTACAGCAGCCCACCTTACCTGGTGTGCTTTTCACGGAGTCTAGGCTTTGGGACGTGCTTCATTAACTATTACTTAAACTCCACGGAATCCTATGCTGTCTTGGTCTCGTCCTTCTCCGATGCCCAGTTCCCTTCCCTGTAGTGGGGTTGTATCCCATAATCTCTTATATAGCCACACATACCCACACACTTACACATTTTAAGCGGGATTCTCCCGATCTCAGGGTAAGATCTCTTTTTTATCATGAGTTTTCTGTTGTGTGTGTGTGTTTTGTTGTTGTTCATGGGGCTTGAACTCAGGGCTTGAGCGCTGTCCTTGAGATCTTTTGATCAAGGTGAGTGTTCTACCACTTGAAGCCACAGCGCCACTTCCAGTTTTCTGGTGGTTAATGGGAGGTTAAAAGTCTTAAGAGGAAGTGGCTCTGTGGCTCAAGTGGTAGAGTGCTTGCCTTGAGCTGAAGAGCTGAGGGACAGTGTGCAGGCCCAGAGTTCAAGCCTCACCGACAAAAAAAAGTCTGGAGACTTTCCTACCCTGGCTGGCTTTGAACATTGATACTCCCTGAGTAGCTAGGATTACAGGTGTGAGCACCAGTGCCTGGCTTCTTTTTAGCATGTTCACAAACCTGTTACAGAGTTGACCCTAGGGTCTTCACCCAATAGGTGTATCATTGTATATTTTAATTTTACCTTCACCTCTTTACACTAAATCCAAAGCAGAATAAGATTATTTAATATCACTAAAGACACCTGTAGATTGTTAGCTTGAAAGTTTGGGGTTTTTTTTGTTTTTGGGTGTTTTTTTTTCTTTATGGTGTTGAAACATCAAACATAGGGTGTGAAACATGCTAAACAGGAACTACACCCCTCAGCTACACTGTCAAGTCCTGACAGTGTTTGTTTAGCAGAGAACAACTGGTATTTTATTTTTTAGGTGCAAGTACTAAGGCTTGAGTTTAGGGCCCGTGTTTTTACTTTGGCCTTTTTGCTCTACTGTTGCTCTACCAATTGACTTAAATTTCTACTTCTAGCTTGTAGCTGGTTAATTGGAGGTAAGACTCGCTTGGATTTGTCTACCTTTAAACCTCAACTTCTGAGTAGTTTAGGATTATAGGTATGAGCCCACCAGTGCCCAGATAACCACAGGTTTTTGCTGTTTTAGCCAGTTTCTTAAAAAAAAAAAAAAAAGAGCACTAAACTCAGACGAGTCCCTCAACAAATACATGAGATCTTATTAATCTTTTTTTTTTGGGGGGGGGTCCAGTCGTGGGGTCTGAACTCTGGGCCTGGGCACTGTCCCTCAGCTCTTCAGCTCAAGGCTAGTGCTCTACCACTTAAGCCATAGCGCTACTTCCGGCTTTTTTCTTTTTGCTTATGTGGTGCTGAGGAATCGAACCCAGGGCCTCATGCATGCAAGGCAAGTGCTCTACCACTGAACCACCTTCCCAGCTCAATCTTTTTTTTGGTCAGTTATGGGGCTTGAACTCAAGGCCTGAGTGCCTTGAGCCTCTTTGTGCTCAAGTCTAGCACTCTACCACTTGAACCAGTGTCATTTCTGGTTCTTTTGAGAGGTTAATTGGAGATGAGTCTGTCTCAAGGGGACTTTTCTGCCTGGGTTACCTTCCAACAGCTAATCTTACTTTTTAAAATGCTTTCTCTCTGGGTTGGGAAGGTGGTTTAGTGGTAGAGTGCTTGCCTTGCATGCATGAATTCAGCCCTTGGTTCTGTTCTTCAGTACCACATACACAGAAAAGGCCAGAAGTGGCACTGTGGCTCAAGTGGTAGAAATCTAGCCTTGGGCAAAAGAAACTCAGGGACAGCACTCAGATCCTGAGTTCAAGCTCTGGACTGGCAAAAAAATAAAAATTTAAAAAACCAAAATGCTTCCTCTCCACCTGTTGTGACAAAATCTGCCCAGCTTCACTGTGAACAAAAGGCTGTTTCTTTGCCATCAATCCTTTTACAGTGATGCCATGCACTACCTCAAGAACTGTTCTTTTACTTCCTAGACAGAAATCAGGACTTGAGGTGTAGAGTGGCTCTGTGGTAGAGCACTTGCCTAGCAAGCTGAGGCCCTGAGTTCAAAGAAGCCCTTACTTCCCCTTTCAGTATTTCACTCTTCTCAGCCTGACCCTCTGACTTCCCCCCACCTCATTGTTCTAAAAGGTACTTGCTTGAATGTCACTAGTTCACGATAAAAACCCTGGCTACGTACAGTTTAATATGTACCAATTAAACGTTACTAGTGAAATCAATTCAGTGGTGGTTCACTATTCACGAATCCCTTGCTTTCTCTATTTTGTAAGCTGGTAGGATGAAGTAGTTTTTTGTTGTAATAATCGTATTTAAAATGTTGCAGGAAAAAAGCTCAACTTGAAAACCAAATATATTGCAATGCATTTTAGTTTCCATCATTCATGTATTAAGTAAATATTTAGTGAGTGTTAGCTTTTCCCTATTTTTAGGTACTGGAGATGTAGCAGGGAAAAAAGAATGCAAGCCAGGCACTGCTTGCTCACGCCTGTAATCCCAGCTGCTCAGGAGGCCAAGATCTGGAGGATTGAAGTTCAGAACCAGCTTTGTTGTCAACTGTGACCAAAGTCAAGCCAAGCTTGGGGCACACATGTATGCACATACATATACACACACACAAAGAGAACCACCACCAGCTAAGGAAAAAAATCCGAGACTTCAACTCCTCCTTAACAAGTAAAACAAAACAAAAACAACAAAACACACACACAAGAAAACAGACTAGTGTAACAAAGCCAACAGAGTGGATAATCTGGCAACTGTTTTTAGAAGTGGTACAAGTCAGGTGCTGGTGACACACTCCAGGAAGCTGAGATATAAGGCTCGAAGCTTGCTTGAGCAGGAAAGTCCATGAGACTCCAATTTTAAAAATACACTAAATTTAAAAATCTATACTGTAATTACACAGCTGGTTTCAGTCTGGCATTCTCTTTCAAGTTAACATTTCAGTGTTTTTGGGTTTTTTTGTCAGTCATGGGCTTGAAGTCAGGGTCTGGGTGCTTTGTGTGAGTTTTTCCGCTCAGGGCTAAGTGCTTGACCACTTTCAGCCAGAGGGCCAATTCCAGTTTTCCGGTGGCTCATTGGAGATAAGGATCTCATGGACTTTCTTGCCCCAGCTGACTGAACTGTGATCCTCCCTTTTGAGTAGCTAGGATCACAGCGGGAGCCACCAGTTCCTGGCATATTTCATTTTCTTTCCATTAGAAATTAGATTCCTATTCCATTCAAGCATCCTTCAGCTCCAGGAGGGGTGGTGCTAAGGTGGAAGGGAATGTTTCTGCCTCATGCTTTTGTACTGGATGTGTGTGCTAAAGATCCTTTGTAATCTTCACTCACCCACGGTGGATAGGAAGATATACAAAGGTGTTTAGGAGCAAGTTCCCTCCTAAAAACTTAAGTCTGTACTTTTTCTTCTTTTTCCAAATGGAAAGACAGTGCTGTGCTGATACACAAATCAATTTGGGGCAAAACATGTTTACAAAGGGTTAAGCAAAAATTGGTATAGCATGTGAATTACATTACATGGAGATTCCTTGGTTAGATGTGGAAGGGAGAGTAAGGAATGGAAGGTAAGAGAAAGGCCCAGAGTATTTTCACTTATTCTTTCTAGACTTTTTAGTAAGGGAGTTTCCAGAAGGACACTACATATGAATAGCAGCATTTAGGGGAAAAACGGTTTTTGTGGTTATTGGGTCTAAGTAGACACTGATTTGTAACTGGGACAGATGAATTGGGAACTGTGCATACAGTAGTTAGAAGTATCCAGGTAAAAATGGAAGTTAGTCTTTTTTTAATTGACAAAAATCAACAGAATTTTGTGGCCACAATGTCCTGCCACAACCACTTCTGACATTCAAACGTGAGCTATAAAAAATTATTTCTTCTGGTATTTCCACTCTATATACGTAGTTCTACACTGAAATAGTTTTATTCATATTACCACTACGTACTCAGTTTTTGGAGACAAACACCTTGGTTCAAATTCATGAACCAGTATAGGCTAGAGATACACAGTCAAGTAAAGATGCCCTCATGTTCAATCAAGGATGTGCACACATCATTCAGTTTCTTCTCTGAACATCATACTCAAGTACTTTACTAGAGTCACTAGCTCTGGGTTTCCCCCACATGCCTCAATTTGTTTATAGGCTTTAGATTCAAGCTCTCTAAGAGTATTCCGAGTGTATTCAAAAGAACCTACATCCTCAAGATAATGCACACAATATTTTTTAATATCTACGTTTTCTGTTCTCTGGCGCAAGATGTTCTGCACCTGGGTACTTTCAGGCCTGGACCAAATAGCGTGAATGGTAGGGAAGGAGAACTTCCCCTCTGTTAAGTCCTCACAGAAACTCTTGTTTTCGGTATATTCTTTGGATGATAGATTAGCATAATCATCTCTGATTTGGAAAAAGAGCCCAAGTGTATTAAGCAGTGGCTTTAAATCTTCTTTATAGTCAGAGAACAACTGCATGAGACCTACAGCTAATCCAAACAGTCCACCTGTCTTCTGCAGGACCATAGCTTTATATTCATCTTCAGTGGGACAAGTATAAGTGTCCCTCCAGTAAATATCAAGGCCTTGTCCCTCATGGAGCTCCAAAAGCTGGCGGGTAAAAATCTTCACTGCATCTGGGTGATCCAGGGTTAAAACCTTCTCCAAGCCAAGGAAATACACATAATTGGCAGAATTGATGACAGATGGAATTCCATAGATGCTGTGTGCCACTGGAAAGCCACGTCGGAGCTTGGAGTTGTCTTCGATATCATCAATGAGTAAACTGGCATTATGTAACATTTCTGTAACTTCAATGATAATCTAAAACGGGAAAAAAAAGAATTTCACCTTATTTAATCAACAATTTCACTTTTTTTGGTTGGCTGTGGGGCTTGAACTTGGGACCTGGGCACTGTCCTTGGGCTCTTTTGCTCAAGGCTAGCGCTCTATCACTTTAAGCCACAGTACCATTTCCAGTTTTTTCCTGGTTCATGGACTTTCCTGACCAGGCTGGTTTTGAATTGTAATCCTACAATTTCAGCCTGTAGCCAGGCTGAAGCCAGGG